CTAACATCTTGCCCTCCTTCATTCCTCTAGTATTTCTAGCCTTTTTATTCTTCTTCATCCACACTCAAGCACAGTTAACCTCAAGGCTTTTTCATCCCTGTTTCCTCTGCATAGAACTCCTCCCTGAGATATCCACAGGACTCACACACTCACTTTCTTGAGTCTATTTGAAGACTCACCTTCTCAGAGGGGATTTCCATAGTTCACCATATGGTTCTTGCCACTCCATTATTTTGTAAACTACCTTACCTTTGTTTTATTTTCTATTACCGCCTGACATTTTCTGTATTTATGTGTTTATTGCCTATCTCCCTTGACTAGCATGTAAACTCTACAAGGGCAAGTATTGTCTTTTGTTTGCTAATACACTCCTAGCACCTAAAACAGTGCCAGATAGTCAATAAATATTTGTTGACTAAATGAATTAACTGGCCTGTCCCTCCTCTCTTCTGTTGGTCTCAACTACCCACTCCCCAGTTCTCTAAATTTCTAAAATACATTCACTGTGAATGATTTCATCTTTTCCCATAATTTAAACCACCATCAAATCTTTATTTTCAGTTTACTGTCTCTCTAGGGCTCTAATCCTGTATTTCAACTGTTTGTTGAATAGCTTTGCCTGGATACACCATAGGCACCACACATTCAAGCTGCCCCAAATTGAGCTCACTGTTAGCCTCTTCATTCCATTCCTCTACCCCCATTCTTTGTCCTTTGTCTCTCCTGACAGTCAAGCTCAAATCCACCCACTGTATTGTCTGAGGCAGTTGTGAGAAAATATGCTAACGAGCTCCTACTCTAGAATCAGGACTATGCTCCAATCCAGCTCTACTACTGTTTGGCTGTGTGACTTCCATTAGATTCTTCCACAGTCCTCAGTTTCCTTATCTGTACAACAGGGAGAGTATAGCACTTACTATGTTACATGGTTGTAAATCAGTTAATACTCATTGAGAATTTACACCAGTTCCTGGCACATATTAAGCATGAAATAATCGTTAGCTTTTATATTATTGGCTTCATATCTTTCTCACCTCATTATAGTAAAACGTTTTCTGAGCAACTATTCTGTCTGTACCTGGTGTTACACATATAGTCATGCCAACTATTTCATTTGGTAAATGTGGGTGCCTACTATACCTATAGCTGTGTGCATCTTCACAATAACCTGTAAAGGAGCTATTATTTCCATTTTACAGAAGAGGAAGCTGAGACTTAAGGAGATGGGGTAACTTGCCAGGCTTTCACAGCCAATACTTGGCAGAGCCTGCATTCTAGCCTGGGGTTGCAAGGTATACACAAGTTATTCTTTAGTTGCTTACTACATCTCATTAGTTCTGTTCACTCACGTGCTTATCAAGAATTTATTGCATACCAGTAGTATAATGTGTGAGCACACAGACGGAGCCAGATTCTCAGGGCCCAATTCTCAGATCTGTGTCTTTGCTGTCTGACCTTGGGCAACTTAGTTCATGTTTATGAACCTTGTTTTCCTCATCTGTAAATTGGAATAATAATAGCACTTACTTTTTTTTTTTTTTAAGATTTTTATTTATTTATTTGACAGGGAGAGACACAGCGAGAGAGGGAACACAAGCAGGGGGAGTGGGAAAGGGAGAAGCAGGCTTTCCGCTGAGCAGAGAGCCCGACGCGGGGCTTGATCCCAGGACTCTGGGATCCTGACCTGAGCTGAAGGCAGACGCTTAACGACTGAGCCACCCAGGCACCCCAATAGTACTTACTTTTTAGGGTTCTTCTAAAGATGTAAATGCTTAGAACAGTGTCTGGCTGGAAGAGGTGCAGAAGCTGTGGGAAGGTAAAAGAGGTGCAACCTTCAGAGTTGGCTATGGGAAATGTGAGGAAAGACTTCTAGAAGTGACCCTTGAGCTGAGTCTTTAAAAACAAGAGAGAGTGAAGGAAGGGTATTTCAGGCAGTAGAATAATATATGTAAACACATGGAGGAAAGAGAGAACGTGGTGTTTTCAGAGTTCTCAATGACATGGCTATAAGGGCCATTTTATATGAGAAGGCTTTGGTTTGAAACCGAGCAAGGGCATCTGGATGAATGGCTATTGCTCTTCAAAGAATCTTGCTTTACAACAGGTTTCTTTTTGTCAGACTTATTCCTTGGTGGCAGGACTGAGTATTTATTTTTTAATCCCCAGTTTCTGTAGTGCTAGTTGGCATATGGTAGATACCCCAATTTACCAAATATTGGATATGACTGAAGCTTAGGGTAAATATGAGGACATGGCTAGATATTGATAAATATGAGCTTTGGTGGCGTTAAAGGCATTATTTAGACAGAGAAAAGAGTATTTGAATGTTTATTTGGTTTTAAAAATTAATATTTATTTTATTAAAGTTACTAATATTAAAAATCCAGTCTTTTTTTTTTTTTTTTTAGATTTTATTTATTTATTTGACAGAGAGAAAGAGAGAGTGAGACCAAGAACACAAGCAGGGAGAGTGGGAGAGGGAGAAGCAGGCTTCCCGCTGAGCAGGGAGCCCAATGCAGGGCTCAATCCCAGGACCCTGGGATCATGACCTGAGCCAAAGGCAGATGCTTAACGACTGAGCCACCCAGGCGCCCCAAAAATCCAGTTTTTCTTGAGCATTTAACTTTAGTTTATGTTCTAAATCAGATTATTAGATTATTTATTCTAAATAAGATTATCTCATTCTAAACTCTTAATCTTATTCTAGGTCTAGCAAATTTAAGTAGTAATAATGTTGTTTTTGTTCCATGTACAAACTTAAACTCATTTTGTGTGTGTGCCTGTGTGTGTGTGTGTGTGTGTGTATGGTTTAACAAAAGTTTAATTCCCATTCCCATGAGGTCCATCACAGGTCTGGGAGATTCCAGAACAGTTGTTCTCCATGTGGGGGGGCTCAGCATTCCAGACTACTTTGAACTTGTGGCCCCTGTTTCTGTGTGGGTGTCCATGATTGAGGCAGGAAGAGCACTACAGAGTCTTGCAAGTACTCTCAGTTGTCTTAACAACAAACCTTTCTACTTTCTTAAATAATTCTTATAAATATCATAAGCCAAACTTATAAATATGGTGAACTTCAGGTTCTCTTAAATGTCCTAAAGCTTTTTATAAAGTTACAAAGATTTTGACTTAAAATTATAACCCATAATCAGGGGTGCCTGGGTGGCTGCCCCTCCCTTCTCCCTCTGCCCCTCCCCCCACCCCCCAGTTGTGTGCTCTCTCTCTCAAATAAATAAAATCTTTAAAATAAAATTATAACCCATAATCAATTTCACATTTTAAACTAGAATGACAGAGCTGACCTGTTACTCTAATAAGCCAAATTCTCTTAAACATAGAAATGCAGGGTGCCTGGGTGGCTCAGTTGGTTGAGCAACTGCCTTCGGCTCAGGTCATGATCCTGGAGTCCCGGGATCGAGTCCCGCATC